TTAGGTGCAGTGGCTCACGCCTGTAATCCCAGCACTTTGGGAGGCCGAGGCGGGCAGATCACGAGGTCAAGAGATCCAGACCATCCTTGCCAACATGGCGAAACCCCATCTCTACTAAAAGTACAAAAAATTAGCCAGGCGTGGTGGCGCCTGCCTGTAGTCCCAGCTACTGGGGAGGCTGAGGCAGGAGAATTGCTTGAAACCGGAAAACGGAAGTTGCAGTGAGCTGGGATCATGCCACAGCACTCCAGCCTGGCGTAGAGTGAGACTCTGTCTCAAGAAAAAAAAAAAAGGAATAAACTTTTAAAAAAGTAAATTGGCTTTCTCATACTCAGTTACATAGTCTGAGAATTGTTTTCATTTTTTATTTTTGAGACAGAGTCTCTGTTGCCCAGGCTGGAGTGCCGTGGTGCGACCTCCCTAGGGTCAAGCGATTCTCCCATCTCAGCCTCCCAAGTAGCTGGGATTACAGGCATGCACCACCATGCCTGGCTAGTTTTTTAAATTTTTGTAGAGATGGGGTTTCACTAGGCAGGTCTCAAACTCCTGAGCTCAAGCAATCCCTGACCTTGGCCTCCCAAAGTGCTGGGATTACAGGTGTGAGCCACCACACCCAGCCTGAGAATTGTTTTTTACAATGTGAAGATAGGAGTTCTGTATTTAAATTTGTATTTCTCCTACTATTGCTAATAGACAGGTGATCCATTAATCCGTTTTGATCACTAATTCTGTTATAAGTTTTTGTGCTTTCCATAATTAAAGGTAATTTACTTAAGTATCTTACATCTCCATTACAAAATGCTCTCCAGTTCCCAGGAGGCCTATGAAGGGCAATTCCAGGAATGCAACTACAGCAAGACCAAAGCAGCTGAAGGCAGTCACATTTAGGGAACTGTGGCCTTATTTCAGAAACAATGCTTAGAGGTGGTAGACAGATGATAAGGTCACACACTTCACCACAAGAACCTAAGACTATGACTCACCAAAAGTCCCTTTCCAAAAAACCTTGGGACTTAGAGGAAGAAAATACCTGATGTGTGTCATTAATAAAATATGTATGTGTTACAGTTTACAGTGTGTGATTGCGGAAACAGGAAAATACAGAACACAAGGGAATGTAATTTCAGTACAGCCCAGTCACATCAACAGGAAAATCATATGCGCGTATAAAGGAATCATTACTGTATATGCTATATATTTATATTTAAGTATTTAGTACAGTAAGTATGTACTAAGCCATTGCACTAAAAATAATACACAAAAATAATACCATTAAGATTCCCAACACAACTTAAATGGTAATCTTTTCAATTAATGGAGCTATTTTAAAACATAGTCATTTACTCTAATCTTAGAGTTGTCATGAAATTAAATGATTTTTTAAAGTTTCTTATTGAGTACCTAAGATATGTCAGATAATGGCTATGGGTTTTACATGGACTATGTTATTTTATTCTCATAAAGTAGCAATATTATCTCTGTTTTATAGATAAAGAGCTAGGAGGATAAGCCCATATCTGCCCGACTCCAACACTGTTGAGTATCACTTATCCAAAATGCTTAGGACCAGAAATTCAGAATTCAGATTTTTTTTTTGGGGAGGGGGGGAATTGTATAAACATAATGAGATAAAAATATCTCATTATGTAGGACCCAAGTCTAAACAAAACATTCATTTATGTTTCATATGTGTCTTATACACATAGCCTTAAGGCCATTTTATACACAACTTTAAATAATTTTGTGCATGAAACAAAGTTGTGACTGCTACATGAGGTCAGGTCTGAAACTTTCCACCTGTGGCATCATATTGGCACTGAAAAGCTTCCAGATTTTGGAGAATTTTGGACTTCAGATTTTCAGATTAGGGACACTCAACCTGTAAATAACACATTACCTTGGCTGCCCTTTTTTCCGTTTCTTACTTTCCCACTTCTCCACCATGTTTTCTGAGATCACCTACTGTATTAGTTGCTAGGATTGCCATAACAAAAACCACAGACTGGGTGGCCGGGTGGCTTAAACAATAGACATTTATCTTCTCACAGTTCTGGAGGCTGGGAAGTCTAAGATGAAGGTGTTGGCAGGCTTGGTTCCTTCTGAGGCCTCTCTCCTTGACTTACAGATGACTGTGTTCTCATGTCTTCATAAGGTCATCTCTTTCTGTATGCATGTGTTGGGGTGTCTCTTTCTGTATCCAAACTCCTCTTTTTACAAGAATACCGGTCAGACTGGATTAGGGCCCACCCTAAGTACCTCATTTTAACTTAGAAACCTTTTAAAAGACCTAATCTGCAAATATGATTATATTTTGAGCTACTAGAGGTTGGATCTTTAATTTATTAAAGATGGGGGACACAATTCAGTGCAAACCACCTACCAAATAAACCACCTAAGTTGAATTTTGTTTCAGCATTGGCCTTGGGAAGCACAAGGTAAAACGTGGAGGATACTGTTTGACACATAGTACTAAATGCTTTTAAAACATTTTTTTGTGGATCTGGTCCACTGACAATGTATTCTCCTAGTTTTCATTTATCTTAAAATGCCTTTATTTCCTTTTATTCTTGAAGGATTTTTTTTAAAAATAGGCTTTATTTTTTAGAGCAATTTAAAATTGAGCAGAAGATACAGAGAGTTCCCAGATACCTCCTGCCCCCACACATGCACAGATTCCCCCATTATCAACATCCCCCCACCAGATGGGTACATATGTTACAATTACTGAACTTACATTGACACATTATTATCTCCTACAATCTACAGTTTACATTAGTATTCACTTGATATTGTACACTCTGAGTTTTGACAAATGTATAATGACATGTATCTACCATTATAGCATCACACAGAGTATTTCCACTGCCCTAAAATGCTCCGTGTTCTGCCTATTCATCTCTCCCTCCCCGCCTAATTCCTGGAAACCACTGATCTTTTTACACCTATGTAGTTTTGCCATTTCCAGAATGTCATATACTGTAGTTGGACTCATACATTATGTAGCCTTTTCAGATTAGCTTCTTTCACCTGGCAATATGCATTTAACTCTTCTCCATATTTTTATGTGGCTTGATAGCTCATTTCTTTTTAGCACTGAGTATTTCATTGTTGATATTCCACAGTCATTTTATCCATTCACCTACTAAAGGACTTCTTGGTTTCTTCCAGTTTTCAGCAATTATGAGTAAAGCTGCAATAAACATCTGTGTGCATGTTTTTACGTGAATACAGTTTTAAACTCCTCTGGGTAAATACCAAAAAGTACAACTGCTGGATCATATGGTAAGAGTATGTTTAGTCTTTAAAGAAACCACCAAACTGTCTTCTAAAGTTGCTCTAACATTTTGCATTATTAAAAGCAATAAGTGAAAGTTCCTGTGGCCTCACAGCCTCATTAGCATTCAGTGTCATCTATTTGTAGTAGTATCTCGTTGTTTCAATTTGGATACTGTAGTTGGACTCATACATTATGTAGCCTTTTCAGATTAGCTTCTTTCACCTGGCAATATGCATTTAACTCTTCTCCATATTTTTATGTGGCTTGATAGCTCATTTCTTTTTAGCACTGAGTATTTCATTGTTGATATTCCACAGTCATTTTATCCATTCACCTACTAAAGGACTTCTTGGTTTCTTCCAGTTTTCAGCAATTATGAGTAAAGCTGCAATAAACATCTGTGTGCATGTTTTTACGTGAATACAGTTTTAAACTCCTCTGGGTAAATACCAAAAAGTACAACTGCTGGATCATATGGTAAGAGTATGTTTAGTCTTTAAAGAAACCACCAAACTGTCTTCTAAAGTTGCTCTAACATTTTGCATTATTAAAAGCAATAAGTGAAAGTTCCTGTGGCCTCACAGCCTCATTAGCATTCAGTGTCATCTATTTGTAGTAGTATCTCGTTGTTTCAATTTGCATTTCCTTGGGGATATTTTTGCTAGATGTAAAATGTGAGATATAGATGCTCTTCAACTTACCATGGGGTTATAAACCTATGGTAAGTTTATTTGTGATGGATTTAACCCATGATAAACCCATCACAAATCAAAAATATTGCCAAGTCAAAAATGCACTTAATACCACCCAGTAAAGCCATAGTAAAATCACAAACTCCTAAGTTGAAACATCGTAAGTAGACAACCATATGTACTTTCCATTTTCTGCCTACTTTGGTCCCTTCTCAATCCCTTCATATTGGTTTTTTAAAAATATTTTGTTCAGAGTTTGTAAGTATCACTTGTGAAACAGTTGGTCTGATATATGCTACGCTCCCATTAATGGAAATAAAACCTCATTTATTTTTATTTTTTTTGAGACAGAGTTTCACTCTTGTTGCCCAGGCTGGAATGCAATGGTGCAATCTTGGTTCACTGCAACCAAGCGTTGAAAGCGTTGAAAGCGTTCAAGCGATTCTCCTGCCTCAGCCTCCTGAGTAGCTGGGATTACAGGTGCCTACCACTACGCCTGGCTAATTTTTTGTATTTTTAGTAGAGATGGGCTTTCACCGTGTTGGGCAGGCTGGTCTCAAACACCTGACCTCAGGTGATCCACCCACCTTGGCCTCCCAGAGTGCTGGGATTACAGGCCTGGGCCACTGCACCCAGCCAGAACTTCATTTTTTTAAACCAAGAAAAGCCTGCTCCACATTTAGACATTTGTATCATATTTATATATTTCAATCAACCTGATTGCTCCAGGTTATGATGTTAGGCTTTGGGGTTTTTTGTTTTTGTTTTTAATCTTTTAGAGACAAACTTTTTGAAAGAGGGCTGCATTCCCCCTCATGTTGTGGTGTTCTTTTCTAACTTCTCTGCTGAAAAAAAGTAGCCAGGCAACCTCTTCTCCAGAACCTCCACACTAATAGGGGTTTTGCTTGTTCTGACTTACCCTTCAATTCTATTCCTATGGATAAGTGAACAGAAAATTATAGACTAGGAATTTTTTCCAAGGTTAAGGACGTTGCTGGGAACATTTCCAAGCATCACACTCAAGTTATTACCTCTTTATTGATGAGGATTTTGTCCAGCGTTTTTCTGGAGGTTTGAACAGTAACTTTCTGAGTTAAGGGGATTTGAGTTCACATCCAGTGTCATAATCTAAAAGGAGAAAGGATTGTCACTCTGGGACATGTGCCAGAGGAGCTGGTCAACACTGCAGAGGGACCCAACCAGGCCACACAGTCAACTCAATCAAGACACCTTTATGTGCCAAACTATGCTGGCCTAGGGGAAAAGACACTAGAGTATACTGTAAATGGCTTTTTAAAAACAGTTTTATTAAGATATAATTTACATACCAAATTATATATTTTTAACAACAAATAACGTCTGAATGAATGGAGAGCTCTTTAAACAACTCTCTCAGTAACTAGTAATTGCAGATAAAGAGGAAAATGGTGCCCTCACCTTCTCCTCCCAAGTTCAATTATTAGAGATACCCTTATACATATTCAAAGCTGTCTGTAGTGGCATACAACATGGGTGAGTTTCAAGCCTAGAATGATGAGTTTAAAAATGAAAAGAATAGAGATTCACCACTCAAGGAACTCATTTGGAAACTGTCTTTTCATCAGGCCTTCTTGAGATGAGAAGAAATCATCTCTGCTGTTTTCTGGTCAAGTCTATATACAGCAGATTTCTTTCTCTAACTCCAGCAGCTAAATTCCAGACCTATTCATTAATTTTCTCCATTGGGTATGCCTTTTTCTTGATATCTGTTCTTAATAATTGAGCTACATGCCGGGCGCGGTGGCTCAAGCCTGTAATCCCAGCACTTTGGGAGGCCGAGGCGGGTGGATCACAAGGTCGAGAGATCGAGACCAACCTGGTCAACATGGTGAAACCCCGTCTCTACTAAAAATACAAAAAATTAGCTGGGCATGGTGGCGCGTGCCTGTAATCCCAGCTACTCAGGAAGCTGAGACAGGAGAATTGCCTGAACCCAGGAGGTGGAGGTTGCGGTGAGCCGAGATCGCGCCATTGCACTCCAGCCTGGGTAACAAGAGCGAAACTCCGTCTCAAAAAAAAAAAAAAAAAAAAAAAAATAATTGAGCTACAAAAGACAAAGGCAGTACACTTGGTTGAAATCTCCATCATCAAAATGATGTTTATTTTAGAGTTTGCAAAAGAGGCATTTATCACATGGAACATTTGAAAAGTAACAAAATAAAATATTGCCAGATTTAGCAATCTGTAGATCATTTTTTTTTTCTTTTTTTGGAGATGAATCCTCACTCTGTCACTCAGACTGGAGTGAAGTGGTGCGATCTCGGCTCACTGCAACCTCCACCTCCCAGGTTCAAGCAATTCTCCTGCCTCAGCCTCCTGAATAGATGAGATTACAGGTGCCTGCCACCACGCCCAGCTAATTTTTGTATTTTTAGTAGAGATGAGATTTCACCATGTTGGCCAGGCTGGTCTTGAACTCCTGACCTCAGGTGATCCACCTGCCTCCATCTCCCAAAGTGCTGGGATTACAGGCGTGAGCCACCACACCCAGTTGTAAGTCACTTCTAATAATAATTATTCCTTTTTATATGTTTCCTTCCTGCAACTTTCCTAACCGTGTTCACCTCACTCCTTGGTTTAGGCACCATCTTCTGTGCTCCCTGTGCATATTTGCATTATATTACTTATGACATTACATAAAAACTGCTTATTTACTTACCTCTCTTCCCTATTAGATAATCTGCTCCTTTAAGATATACTCTGTCTCTCACTTGACTTTGTATCTTGGCCCTTAGGTCAGTACCTGGAATAAAATAGATACTCAATACATGCTTGTTGAATAAATAAATGATTACAAGACACAACTAATACAGGAACATTAACATGTTAAGTAAACAGGTCATGTCCATAAAAATTTCAAGGGAAAGATCTTAGAAGTGAATATGATTCAACATCTCTGAAACTGACTTTCTTTCTCTTGTAATTTGTGCCTGCAATTAAAATTTGTATCTGAACTTTTAAAAGACATTTCTATGATAAGTCATGATGACTATGGCATTTGCCATCATTTTAAGAGATTAGAAATGCAAGGCTTGTCCCTAAAAGGAAATCATTTTTGAACTGTGGCTTCTTCACAGTAAAAAGGATTCTATTAAAATCTTTAGAAAAGTAAAAGAAAATATTTATTCTAGTAACCTTTTCTCTAATTTTTCATGATTTGCTACATAATCAACTCTATTTATTTCTCTCTCAGAATCTTGTCACTGATTAGAGAGAGCTGAGACCAGGCACAGTGGCTCACACCTGTAATTCAGCACTTTGGGAGGCAGAAGTGGGAGGATCGCTTGATACCAGGAGTTTGAGACCAGCCTGGGCAACATAGTGAGACTCCATCTCTATTAAAAAATTTTTTTAAAAGAGGGGTTGTAATGTATGACTGTGAACCTGTTTAACTTAGTATGAGGCTAATATTGGATACTTAGCTCTGATAATTCACTGGTCTCAGTTATTACATCTCACTTTTCCTCATAACAGTGCCATTCTAACTTATGTTTTGCTTTAGACTCTGGGGAGAAATATACTTCTGATCATCCAGCAAACTGTTATCCACTGTCACCATGTCAATATAAAACCAGTGTTAGCAGCAGGGCCGAGAAGCTGGGTTTATAATAGTAGTGGTAGCGGGGAAGCCAATAGATATGGCCTGAAAATAGGATTGTTTTCCTTTCTGGAAAGAATTTAACCTCATCCTTTTACTTTCCAAAAGGTTTATCTTTTAAAAGTGAGGTGCTGGGTTTTGTCCCAGAATAGCAAGCCACTTCCCGCTCAATTTCCCCGCAGAGAATTCTATCTTATCAGCATGTTCTGTGGAGGAAATTCAGTTTCTGGATAGAAAGAGAAGTCCTTTAAGGAAATGGGGAGGAAAAAAGTGAGATAAGGAAAGTTTTCCTTTTTTTTCTTTTTATTTGTTTTTAATTAAATAGGGACAGGGACTCACTGTGTTGCCCAGACTCACTGTGTTGCCTCAAACTCTTGGACTCAGGGCATCCTCCCTCCTTGGCTTCCTAAAGTGCTAGGATTACAGGAATGAGCCACCATGCTCTGCCAAGTTTGTTTGTTTGTTTTTTGAGATGGAGTCTCACTCTGTCACCCAGGCTGGAGTGCAGTGGCACGATCTTGGGTCACTACAACCTCTGCCTCCAGAGCCCAAGGGATTCTCCTGCCTCAGTCTCCTGAGTAGCTGGAATTACAGGTGCACACCACCATGCCCAGCTAATTTTTGTGTTTTTAGTAGAGACGGGGTTTCATCATGTTGGCCAGGCTTGTCTCAAATTCCTGACCTCAAGTGATCTACCAGCCTCACCTCCCAGAGTGCTGGGATTACAGGCGTGAGACACTGCACCTGCCCTAAGTTGTTTTTTTGTTTTGTTTTGTTTTGTTTTGTTTTGAGGAAGAAACGTTGATGGAAGAAGAAATGAACTTATAAGTGTTGACAAGTAAAAAAGCAACATGCCAGGTGCAGTGGCTCATGCCTGTAATCTCAGCATTTTAGTAGGCCAAGAAGGGTGGATCACTTGAGCTCAGGAGTGCGAAACCAGCCTGGGCAACATGGCAAAATCCCATCTCTACCAAAAATACAAAAATTATCCAGGTGTGGTAACACATGCCTGTAATCCCAGCTACTTGCGGGGCTGAGGCAGGAGGATCTTTTAAACCCAGGAGGTCAAGGCTGCAGTGAGCTATGATCATGCCACAGCACTCCAGTCTAGGTGACAAAGTGAGACCCTGAGATCCCATCTCAAATGAAAGAAAAAGAAGAAAGCAACAAAAAGAAACAAAGAAATTATACCGTAGGTATTATGTTACATAAGCTGTTTAAAAATAAAGACTTTTTTTTTTTTTTCAGTTCTTCCCACCATTAAAAGACATATAATGTAAGAATTCTATAGCAATGGTATCTAGCTCAGGTGCCAGATCATCTTAGGTTTAAATCCTCACTCTGTTGGGAGGCCAAGGCAGGTGGATCACTTGAGGTCAGGAGTTTGAGACCAGCCAGGCCAACATAGTGAAACCCTGTCTCTACTCAAAATACAAAAATTGGCCGGGTGTGGTGGCATGTGCCTATAATCCCAGCTCCTAGAGGATTATAGTGAGGCACGAGACTCACTTGAACCTGGGAGGCAGAGGTTGCAGTGAGCCAAGATCATGCCATTGCACTCCAGCCTGAGTGACAGAAGGAGACTCGGTCTCAAAAAACCTAAATAAATGCATAATAAATAATCCTCACTCTGCCACTTGCTAGGCTTTTCAGAGCCTCAGTTTCTTCATTTGTAAGTAGAGGTGATAATACTGATTTCTAATTTGAAGTATGTGGGGGCGATTTTTGGTTTCTTTTGTTTTTTGAGATGGAATCTCGCTCTGTCACCCAGGCTGGAGTACAGTGGCGCAGTGTCGGCTCACTGCAACCTCCGCCTCCTGGGTTCAAGTGATTCTCCTGCCTCAGCCTCTTGAGTAGCTGGGACTACAGGCATGTGCCACCATGCCCAGCTAATTTTTGCCTTTTTAGTCACATGTTGACCAGGCTGGTCTTGAACTCCTGACCTCAGGTGATCCGTCTGCCTCAGCCTCCTAGAGTGCTGGGATTACAGACGTGAGCCACAGCCCCTGGCCTGAAGTGTTGTTTTAAAGATTAAATGAGATAATTTACACGATTATGTTTGCATAATATTCAACAAATAGTGGCAATTATTATTGTTTTTAGCTATTCTGCCATATGGTCCTTAAACATTGATAGTCCCCTTTTTCTTTCATTTTCTTGGAAGTGAAAAGACTATAATTGAAGAGGCACAAATCCATGAACTGAAGTTTCTTGAGAGTAAGAACCATATCTAATATTATTGTATTTCTGGTACCTAGCATGGTGCTTAGCACCCAGACCGTAAAGACTTGTTGAGGAAATGGAAGAACCACTAATATAAAACATAACTTTCATTATAAATGTTAAGGCTGGGCCAGGCGTGGTGGCTCAAGCTTGTAATCCCAGCACTTTGGGAGGCCGAGGTGGGTGGATCAAGAGGTCAAGAGATCGAGACCATCCTGGTCAACATGGTGAAACCCCGTCTCTACTAAAAATACAAAAAATTAGCTGGGCATGGTGGCACGTGCCTGTAATCCCAGCTACTCAGGAGGCTGAGGCAGGAGAATTGCCTGAACCCAGGAGGCGGAGGTTGCAGTGAGCCAAGATCGTGCCATTGCACTCCAGCCTGGGTAACAAGAGCAAAACTCCATCTCAAAAAAAAAAAAAAAAAAAAAAGTTATGGCTGAATTGTGTCCCCCCCAAATTCCTATGTTTAAGTTCTAGCCCCCAGTACTTCAGAATGTGACCTTATTTGGAAATAGGGTTATTGTTATAATTAAGGTAAGGTCATGCTAGAATAGGGGGACCTCTAATCTAATACGACTGCTGTTTTTATTAAAAGGGGAAATCTGGGGAGAAACATACACACTAAGGAGAACGCCATGTGAAGATGGAGGCAGAAGGTAATATATTTGCAAGCAAAGAAATGGTAAAGATTGTCAACAAAGCATAAGGAGCTAAGGGAGAGGTATGGAACAGATTCTTTGTCACAGCCCTCAGAAGGAGCAAACCCTGTCGACACCTTGATCTTGAACTTCTAGCCTCCAGAGCTATGAGACAAACTATTTCTGTTGTTTAAGCCACCCAGTTTGTGAGACTTCATGGTGGCAGCCCTACTAAACTAAGACAACAAGTTAGTACCATCATCATCTTCCTATGCTATAATTTTGACAGGTTTAAATCTAGCTTGAAAGAGGTTTTACCTGTATTATTTTATATAAGCAGGCAATATTCAAACCAAACAAAACCAAAAGCAAAGTGAAAATGCTTTTTGGTTAGGCACAATCCGAAAAAGTTATCTAAGTAAGTTTTTTAGGGACCAGCATCATATTACTAAGTTCTGTGCTGGGAACATGCTTAATTCCTGACATAAATACTAAATTGGCAGTTACAGTAAGCAGACTGAGAATAACAACAGAACAGCTTTCATGGTTTAATTTTACTCAAGTCAAAATTCTGTAACTACATTTAATATGATTACAAAAACACTGTAAAAGGTTTACAGGGCAGCTAACACAAGTAAACAAAGCTGATTATGGCAGTATTTCCTTTTAATTCTTAAGAATAACAAGGCCGGGCGCGGTGGCTCAAGCCTGTAATCCCAGCACTTTGGGAGGCCAAGGTGGGTGGATCACAAGGTCAAGAGATCGAGACCATCCTGGTCAACATGGTGAAACCCCGTCTCTACTAAAAATACAAAAAAAATTAGCTGGGCATGGTGGTGCGTGCCTGTAATCCCAGCTACTCAGGAGGCTGAGGCAGGAGAATTGCCTGAACCCAGGAGGCGGAGGTTGCGGTGAGCCGAGATCGTGCCATTGCACTCCAGCCTGGGTAACAAGAGCGAAACTCTGTCTCAAAAAAAAAAAAAAAAAAAAGAATAACAGACTACAAATGTTAACAATAAACTACAAAGGCTGGGCCGGTAGTTCATGCCTGTAATCCCAGCACTTTAAAAGGCCAAAGCAGGTGGATCACCTGAGGTCAGGCGTTCGAGAGCAGCTTAGCCAACACAGTGAAACCCCATCTCTATTAAAAATACGAAAATTAGCTGGGCATGGTGGCAGGCACCTGTAACCCCAGCTATTCGGGAGGCTGAGGCAGGAGAATCTCTTGAACCCAGGAGGCAGAGGTTGTAGTGAGCCGAGGTGGTGCCACTGCACTCCAGC